CATTTAACTCTGTTATGTTGTTTGACCTGTTACCAAATATATTAATAACAAATAAGAATATTATCTAGTCGATGGCTAAAAATAAAACTTGTAATTTTAAAATTTAAGACAATTTCTATAAGGAAATAATAAATTGTAAGTTGGCCAAAAACCTACTCCTATTTCTTGTGTATACGGACACGAATAATCATCAAAAAATGAAGTGAAATGTGGGTACTGATTTCTTATCAAATTTAAATTATAAAAATATATACCTGTACACATACTCAACTAGTAAATTTAATTCGCCTTATTTGACATCTCACAAAAACATGTAATTTCAGGTTTTTATCTGGTATTTTCACATATGGACAGGTAATATTTAATTTGGGTTTTTTAAATAATTGTTATGAACTTATTAGAAGTAAATAATAAAATAAAATAAAAAATGCATATATTTTGCATATTCCAGTTAAACTACTTCTATATAAGCTACCTATCAATAATATTTAAGAAATGTGCCTTATTATGATGTTTTTAAAATAAAGTATAAAGCTTTGTAGTGGATTAACAATTGAAGATAACGTTCTGAAAACCATCACTGCACTTCTCCTAGCCAATGTGCTTTTAACAAGACCCCAAACAACAAAATCCATTCTCAAGTTTCAGAGATCTATCTCGCTAAATAAAATTTAGCAAAATATGACTCTTTTTTAACTGTGAAATTAAATTTTTTTTTTAAATTTTTAATTCACATTTTGTGTCTAATTGATAATCTCTTTTTAATGAGCTATCAACCAACTTTCTACCTATCATAGTTTAGGAGAAAAGTTTAAAAAAAAATAGAAATTTTAGGACTGTTCACGCCAACGTTTTTGTGGATTCAAATCGTTATACCGCTTGGGTGTGATATCGGATTTCTCTCATTAATATCTTATATTAAAGCTAGAACTAGAGTTTACAATTACTGAGTTACATGTTTACTATATTCCTATTTGACCACAAATTCTTGACGTTTTCAAAATTCAGATTTTTTGATTAAAATCAAGAAAGTAGAAAATTAACATATTGAGGACCTCTATTTAATGGCAGGTATTAATTGTGTAATTAAGTGTAGCTATTTCAGCAGTTTAGATAATATAATATAATCATTAAATCATGAGTTATATTTGGTGTAACTAACCTTTTTTAAACTTTGTTTTATATTTATTGATTACGTATTTTCAAAATTATTCATACTGTATATATATACAAGTCTTTTAAATAAATATCCAAAATAAATATAGTCAGGTGCAGCGAAATCACTGTTCATTGCACCTGTGTGCACAACTATAAATTTTATTATGTTACAATATTCGGTTAATTACTTTGTATATTATTACTTATTAGATACAGTACTATTTACTCTATACAGTAGGTTAAGTTAATTTTGCTTAAACCATGGTACCTATACAAACATAGTATACCTAATATCATACAATTTTAATATTATTTTATCATAATATATTATTGTAATAATTCACTTATACCTAACTCAATGCTGACGTACCTACCTATTGTAATAATAAAGTAAATTAATTCATGGAATTTCAAAAATTACGTTACGTATAGAAAGTAATAACAAAAAATCTTGTAAGTGGGTGTCACTCTGCTGTACATTAGGTTTCAAGTGGGTCACTGTAATGGACGGTATTAAATTTGAATTCAATGATATAATATCATTGTATACGAAAAATGATTAGGAGCGGAGATGGTTTGTCAGCATAGGAAGTTTTAAATTTTAAATATGTTATCAAAAACTACTTTCAAGTTTTGATCACAGTTATTGTGCCAACCTTAGATCATATACTATGAATGGGCTCATATCCCGATAATTTGAAGCACATATTACTATATTGAAGTTTGCAGGTACCTATAACCACAGAATACTCTTTAAGTATTATAAAAATTTAAGAATTTTTAAATATGGTCTTTAAGTAAGTTAAAAAAAAGTCAGGCCACTCTTGTGTTCCTAAACTCCTGTGCATTTTGTTTGAATACCTCCGTATTTATAATGAACGACATTTTAAATTATGATTATTCGATAATTAAATTAAATATCTTAAGATGTGGCCTGATCGATCTCAAGTAGACTTATTAACGAATTCAAATAAGTTTTCAGAAGTCTTATTGGGTTATTAGGTCCATCGATAAGATTGACAAAAATGACATACAAATGAGCATACATTTTTTACCGTTCACCCGTTGACGTGCTCGTGCGGGAGCAGTCATACTCACTAATGAATAATGTCACTTATTACTACGCACACATTTACAAGTCAACCCTCATGCATACAATTTGAAAATTGCCTATTTTGAACTAATTGAAAACTGTCCGTTTTCATTCCCCTCAGGTAGTTTTATCATCGGTAATCTATAAGAAAATTACAATTCTATGTCATACGTTTCAAATAAATTGCTGTTGAAAAAATCAAATCTGTAAATATCACCACGTGGATTTGACACTGAGATGATGTCGGAGCGATAGGGGATTTTTGGCACACACTATACGACGGAAGTCAAATATTATACTTAGTAGGTTTGTCGTGATCACATTCAACCGCCCATTGCATAACCCTACCACATTTAGACCCGACCAATTACAGGACGCCACGATCCCGTAACCGACACCTGTTTGTTTCTAAAAACGATATGCTAACCGATCGAAATGACAGTCAATCAGCTATTCACTCACAAATTATAACTATCATTATAATATCGTTTATATTTCACCCTGCACCTATATTTTATATTTATACTTATCGCGGAGGTAATACCGCACACACTCATTCACCACATCGACTTCGAGTCAAAACTGCAAGCGATCCACCGAGGAGCACAGATTCTGAAATAACAGATATCGTACACCATATTTAAGTTAGTATAATAACAATAACAACAATAATAATATTATGTTTCTACCGTACGCCGCCGTGGCCGTGTTCGCTTTCACGGTGAAGTTCAATTTATTAAACGTGTACACCAGGCACGCCGAACCACCTTCGCCGTTTGTCAACATAATCTTCCCAACGTGCAAGATGTGTCTGGAGTCTTGGTGCCACCTCGTAGATAGAAGACCGTGCATAACCAGATACTGGGAGCACTTCAATTTTACATGTTACACGTGTAAGAAAAACCATGATGGCATCAAACAGCACTATACCGAAGGCGAATGCAAGGCAGCCTGCACTGACCCGGATAAGATGTGCATTTGTGATTTTGAGTGTTACATTTGCGTCTCAAAAGAGTGGGCCTGCTGGAACAATTGGACGCGATGCAATTATTACCCTGTCGAGGAACCAACGTGCGTGTAAGTTAAGCACGGTACCATCCAGCAAGCCTACCGTGAGATTATAATTAAAATAATATTATGATAATAATATATTTTTAATTATGATTTTTGTTCTTAAAAAAAAAAAATAATACTACATTGTGTAATAATATTATATATAGTGTATAATATACGCATCCGATCATTACCGCCGTGAAGAATATAATATTATTGTTTTCACGGTTTTACTTTGCACAATATTCTCACAGAAAAGGTAGTCTATATCTAGTAGAAACTCTGAGGGCCGTAAATATTAGATCTAATATTACATTCTGTTTTATATTTTTGTAAAACCCTTTTTAATGACTATTATCCTTACTGTTAACATTTTAACAATTGAAAAGTTACTAGTTCAGATTTGCAATTAGGTACTTCTTCGATATTTTCAAAACAAATTATTTACCGATACATTTACTGTAAAAAGAAAGGTTCTCATTTGAAAAATTGAAGTTTGTAGGTATCACCACAGAATACTGTTTAAGTAATATACAATTTTATTTGTTGGGTCAAAAAAAGTGAAAAAATTAATACAATACTCCTGATATATTGTTACAATAGTACTTGAAAAATATCAAAAATACCTACATAAAATATGCACATTTTTTTCTTATACAAATTTAAAGTTCAATTTTGATAACGTGATAAACGTTTATCAAATTTTAAATTTTAAAATGATTTTGTAGTTAAAAATGTATATAATGTTCAACTATTATGCCTAAAGATAAAAATAAGGTTCCACGTATAAGTAGGTAACCAAAAAATACCAAAAATATAAAACACAGTTTTTTTTATTGTTATTTTATGTTCAAACATGGACGAAATTACACATTAAATAACCAACTACCAGTAATATAGGTATTTATAGTTATTTTTATGTGTTTATTTAATGTACAATTTAAATACATATTTACAATAAATATTATGCACAATAAATATGTATTGAATTTAAGACCATGTATTTCTGCACGTCATTTGAAACTTTCAGCTATTGCGTCCGCATATGGCATATCCATACTAGTTACCTTTGGTAACATTTAAAAAAAACATATGGATAGGTATAGAGTTGTTTGTTTATTAGCAGCTCTTTGACATATTACATATGTCATATATATAACGATTTTGTATGCCAATAAACAACATTTTTTAGAACTTAGCTTACTATAGTATTATAGTAGTGCAAACACAAACATTAATATAATATTAAAACAAAATTAATTTGGTTAATTTAATTATTATTCACTTACAACTCCAGAAAATGCGTCGTCCATGTGCAACAATATGTTTTGTTAAAACAAGGTTTATGTCTGTCTTAATAGTGCTCCCCTTATCTTGCAAAACTAACAAGTACTTAGTCAGTGGTGCAACTAAGGGGTGCTGAACCCCCTGACTACGATTTAGCCCTTCCCCCAAAAAAATGTCTCTTATTTATTTAGATATAAGCCTATGGGTTATTTTAAATAGATAATTTTGTTAGGTAAAAAAATGTATTAAAATTAATTAATAATAATAATATTATTATATTTTTTTATATTGTTGAATACTTATACTCTTTTTCACAGTGAACATTTTCAAAAATATATACATTTATAATGGCGAAAAAGGGTATAAGTCAGTTGTGAAAAAGGTTTCATAAGTCACTATATTTCAATATATTCAGTGCGATAGGGAATAAGTCATCTATAATTTATAAAATTAACTTTTTAATTTTAACTATAAAATGTTAAATTATAATAAAAATAGTTTAATTAATTAAAAATACATCCATTACCATTCTTGCAAAAAAAAAACGAGAGCTAATAAGTTTTTTTCGTCTCCTGAAAAGTTGTTAAATTTGACTTAGGTATACCCTTTTTCACAAACTTTTTTTTAAGACTTTTTGACTTATGCCTTATCACACACTCAATTTAGACAATATTTAAAACAGATGTACTTTTTTCAGTGCCACCAATAGATACGGAGTGAAATTGCCTACAGAATTGATGCATAATGTCGAAATGACAAAAAAATTGCTTATGCCCTTTCTCCCGAACGCCGTCCTTATAGTACCTACCTATGATCGAGCTACGAACCGGTCATTATAAATTAGTATTAACGCCTATATGTATAGTGGTTTTCCGAGGAATATTATGATACGGGTCCGAGAGACTAATGACTTCCGTTCAACTTGTAATGCACAAAGCACATCAAATATTACGAGCCGCGAATTAACCGTATACATACTACAACTGCGTGCGTGTATAAATAATTATAATATCGTTAATTCACCCGACCAAATCCACGGTAAGCTCATTGCGCATTTAGTAGCAGCTGTACAATAGGTACCTATATATAGATTGCGTGGGCACATGCGGCGCCTGATGGTTGGTAAGCCAGCACAAAGCCGCTACCGAGCGAATAAGTAATAAAAAATATAAAATATAAAATAAGTAATAAGTAATATTTTGCTCACACACCGCGATGCTAGGGGTTTTGATGCAAACAATGCTTCTTGTTTGTACGTCTATAATATTTTAAACGATTAAGAAAAATTCGTACCTAGGTAGTTATTTGGTCGTATAGGCAATAATATGTGGCCGAGTATTTTCCCAATTTATAGTCTTCTACGTGGACTTTGAATTTGAGTGGTTGATGAGTTAATCCAATTTGACGCTACTACGATACCTACCATACCCAAATTCCTTCTAATATTTGGTCAATAAAAATTGTGTAAAAGTGATTATTTCTTTTGTGGAGGTCTGGGGTAACGTTATGCCAGTTCTCTATTGGTGTTTTTATAAATAATTCGCAAAACAAGAGTCATGAAAATGGATGCTTATTGCAACTAATTAGTGGCAGAGTCTTAAAAAAAAAAAAAGTTCAATGGTGGAAGGACAGTGTACTATACCCCGTGCCAATTAGGTAATAAATATTTATAAACTATTGTTTTTAATATATTATATAAAATATTAACATCTATCTGTTTACTGTGATTACCTACCTAAAGAATATAAGTACACAATACACGTCTTCTTCACCTGTAATATATCGATGGCTAAGAAGTCAAAAGTTATATGTCCAATTTTTCACAAAATCGTTTAATAAATCTATTATGGGTTAATTTGGGTTTAGTTTTGATTTAGTTTTGATTCTGTAAAGCATTATAAGTCAATATTATAATAATTAAAACATATTTTATTTATGCTTTAATCTTTGTGTTTTTAGCTCAAGAAAGTTTTTTTTGAGAGTACAGTACACAGTACACACATATAATAATAAGTCCTAAGCTAATGAGACCAGTGCATCCGATTGCATGCCAAAAAAATAAATTGAAATTGAAATGTCCAAATTGCATACCGTCATTTGGAGGGGTCTGTCCGAATTGCATCCAGTCTTTTGAAAGTGTTTGTCCGAATTGAATGCCATCTCTTAGAGGGTTGTGTATGTCC